CACTAATCATCCCTTCCATTTCCTTTTTCCGAATATAAGCTGAAAAGGCTTTAACACATATAAGAAAAAGAAAAAGGGACAAAGGATCACCCTGTCTCAACCCTCTTTCGACTGAAAGTAACCCGACGGAACACCATTCTCCATCACACTATACGACACCGTAGAGATACATTCACGAATCCAAGCACAAAATTTAGGATGAAACCCCAAATTATCCATCACCTCAAGCAGAAAACCTCATTCCACTCTATCATACGCTTTCGCCATATCTAATTGCATAGCCATTCTACCATCCTCTCCCTCCACCCCTTGCTTCAAAGAGTGCAAAATCTCATGAACAACCAAAATGTTGTCATGAATTTGTCTCCCCGGAACAAAAGCTAACTGATTATAACTTATAATCCGGTCCATCACATACTTCAGTCTTCTCGTCAAGAGTTTAGCAATTACCTTATACACAACATTACATAAGGATATATGCCTAAGCTCTGTCATCCGCCGCGAAGCCTTCACCTTTGGAATTAAAACAATATGGGTATGATTAATCTTCTGCAACAACCTTCCCTAATGATAAAAGGCCTGCACCATTCGAATAATATCATCCCCCACCACCTCCCAATGATACTGAAAAAATGCTGCCGTAAATCCATCAGGACCAGGTGATTTAGTAGTGGGAATTTGAAACATAGCCTCTCGAATTTCCTCCACTGAAAAAGGCCAGATAAGTTCGTCATTCTGCTTTCCCTCCACCTTTCCCCCAACACATGCCGCCACTTCCCCTCCACTCAAATATCCCCCAGACCGAAATAAAGTAGTAAAATAATCTACCACAATCTCCTGCATACGAACCGACTCTGTGTGCCAAACCCCATGATTATCTTCCAACCCCTGCAAACTATTACTTCTGCGCCGTTGAACCGTTTAAGCATGGAAAAACTTTGTGTTTTTGTCACCTAAATGGGGCCATGTATTTCGGGATTTCGTTTTCCAATATACGTCTTCCTCCTTGAGTGCCACCACCAATTCTTTTTCCTTTTCCCTACTATACTCATGCCGTACCTTCCCATCAACCATTCTCTTCCTAATATCATCCCTTAATTCCTCAATATGGCGCTTAGAGTTCGGTTTCGTAGTCTTCTTCCACCTACCCAACTGAGACCGAGTCCCCTTCAATTTTTCACAAACTTTAAAACCCAAGGATCCCTCCACTGAAACCTTCCAAGCCTCCTTGATAATCTCTCTACACTCGGGCTTCTTCCCCCACCTAGAATCATATAGGAACCGTCTTAAGCCTTTCAGGGAGGTTGTATAAGGAGATGAAATGAGCATAGAATGATCCGACCCCTCCAACACCACGTGCATAATTTTCGCATGAGGGAATAACCTTATCCATCCAGTAGTTGCCACCCCACAATCAAGCCTTTGTTGAATCAACCCATCATCCCGCTTATTCCTCCACGTAAAAGGATAGCCCTCAAAGCCCAAATCAAGAAGCTCATTGTTTGTTAGGAAGTCTCGAAAATCTCTCGTACTTGCCATGGTCCGATAATTACCACCCTCATTTTCTTCGTCATCCACAATATCATTAAAGTCTCTAATCACCAAACAGTTCCCACATGAATTCCGAATCCGCTTACTTAGCTCTTCCCACTGCCGTTTCCGTCGTTTATCATCCGTACTTGCATAAATTGCTATTAGCGTCCAATCCGACTAAATCGGATCACTACCCACACCCAATTCAATATAAAAATTAGTCTACACGATAATAGAAATATCCACCACTTCTTTCCAAAACACACACAAACCTCCACCAATACTTTTTGGTTCCACCGGTTGCATAAAATCCATCAGTAACAACTTAAGTAAATAATTGTAGCGATCACTTCTATTTTTTGTCTCAAGTAAAATCACTACCTTGGGGTTGTGGAGCCTCACCTGCTCCACCAAGGCATCAACTGTCAAAGAACCCCCAATTCCTTGATAGTTCCAAACTAGTGTTTTCATGGCGACCGTGGAGACCCTTCACGGCTGGTCTCATCCGCCTCAGAAAAAACAAGAGCACACTTATTACCGGTACTAGCAACTTCCCTACCCATCCCATCAGCCTTCTCCTCCACTTCCTCAAATCGCCAATTCATGCGCCTATTCTCTCGACTAATTGCCTAAATAGTATGACCCAACTGAAAAGGATCCGAATCTTGGGTCCCATTGTAACCTTCACCTTCGAAAACCACCTCCTACAAGTCATCCTGTACTTACAGCCCCTTTTCCGTACCACTGCTTTGCTGCATCATAACAGTGAGACATTCCTCTTCCATGTTCACTGGAACGTTCAAATCCACTTGAATCCCCCGTCGGTTCCCATCCACATCCTCACCCCTTGTCGTCTCCGGTCCAACAAAATCAACTAAAACCACATTCACAACTCCCGGCGCAACTGTCTCTCCCTTTCCAATAAGTCCCACATCAAAAGCTCTTTCCCGCGCCTTCCGAGCCTCTTTTTCTGCTACCAAAACCTGGCACCGAATCCCCTCTCTACTTCCACTCCCCTTATCCACAGTATTATTCCTACCCCGTCTACTCTCCTGATCCAATTTCCCACTCCCATTCCCCGTGTGCACAACCCCTTGCATCCCCTCATGATACATGTCTTCATCCCTTCGCACCTCTACCACTTTCCCACTTCCTTCTCCCCAACTCGAACTCTTCGTCCTCCGCGATGGTGATCAAAGAACATTCCCCCATAAATCTGTACGAGCTTCCAAACCCTCATATGGTAAAGCCATAATGTGCACCGATGATTCCTCTCCTTGAGCCCTGCCTTGCTCTCCACTCATCAGTTGTGCCCTACATATCCTAATCGCATGCCCCAACTTCCCACAGTAAAAACAATAATTCGGCAGTCCTTCCTATTGAAAGTGAACCCAAACCCATCATTCATCCGGGAATGTAACCATCATCCCACGCATCAAAGGTTCCAGTAAATTCAGTTGAATACGAACCCTTAAGAACCTGCCAATACATTCTCAACTCGCAGATTTGTCCACAGTAATCACCATTCCAATTTTCCCCCTATTTCCATAGCAACCGCAGCCATCATACTCAATGGCGGCACCTTATGAATTTGCACCCACATTGCACCCATGGATAGCTTCTGCCACCATTCATCATGCATGTTCGTACAATCCCTCACCATGACAAAATCCTCTTTAAATGTCCAAGGGAACTCTGACTCTAACACTCGGTGCATGTCCCACTTAGCAACAAATCTGATCAGAAACCATCGATCACCTAAATCCCGAATAGAAACCCCTTCCTTACCCCGCCATAAAAACATGAATCTGTCAATGAAAACCTCTGCATTCACAGTTTTCTCAGTTAGTCCCTCTGCCAAAAGAACATAATGAAACCCTAACATCGCCTTTCCTTCCAATAATCACACCTTTATTCTCCTTATCAGTAAGAAAAGGTTTGGTTCCCAGCGCCTGCCCTAGCTCCTCCACTACGCCTTCAGTCTCCAGATCCCCCATGAATTCCTATCCACCACGCAACACCAGATCATTACCCGCGCCGTCGTTCAAAACCCTAGATTCCAAACCCTAAACACCAATTCAACACACCCGCCGTCTTCCAAACCCTAGGTTTCAAACACAAAAACACACAGGCTCCTTAGCTCCAACTTTCTCGGACATAACCTCCTTGAGAGGCACCCTTTAACAAAGTAATAGTTGACTTGGAGCCTAATTCAAATTAGTGTCAAAGCCTCTTGAATATCAGTTTGGACCTGATTGACCTCCTGGATTGGAGATGACGATGAATAATAACTTTGTTTTATGTGATTTAGGATAATCCCAACTAAGTAATTACCATATTGTTATATTAATTCATGGAAAAGCAATGATACAAGAATCACAACAAAGTGCTAGCTACATATGCACCTAAGAACTTATGATTCCATATGCAAGATTCAATGAATCAAGGGCTCACAAACAAGCATGGCAATTTTAGGTTTGTTGGTTGACTTCGCTCCGAACTCCACGTGTTTGTTTTACCGTCATTTCAATGTGCCAAATACACTCAAAAAAATTCTTGTATCTGTTAGGGTTTAGGCTTAATTAACCTTCTTAGGAAAAGGAAATAAGTCAACTGATTATTTTGTCAAAGAAACAAAAACTAGCCTTAGTTGTACGTGCGGAACACTCTTTTTCCTTTCGTTTGGGTTGAAATTTCTAGCAAGGTTTTTATCGATACCCAATAAGCACCCTATCCTCATTTTGTACGTTTTTTTTACCAATTTAATGAATATCGTACTTTTTTCTAAGAAGAAGAGGGGAAAAAATAGCCAATCCACTTAGTTCATAAAACTTTTGATTATTAAATAACGTTTTGATGAGGACTGAATTTATTTAAGCTTATTAATAAAATCTCTTTATAAAAAAACATGATCAGCTTTAATCACATGATCTCAGTTTCGAAAGCCATAAACTTTTTAATGAGCAAATGAATAATTGAATAAATAATTTCCAGGACATTAAATTTAAAAGATCAATATTATAAGTTTATGAGAGGTTTATACTAACATAATAATTTTTGCAATAAATCGCATGATTATTTGAGTGCAATCAAAACGTACACACTGACACACAGACTCATGATCTATTCAAATCATTATGTGATAAAAGCTTTATCATGCCTGCATCTTCCTAAATCACACTTAGACATCAAACCCCAAAGGACATCTAAAAAGCCTGATGATGAATTAAATTATTTAATCAAGTCATTTGGAAACAAAACAAAACCCAGAAGACAATCAAAATATAAAAAAACAATAATCTTATTTAATTTTTCATAACAATATTCTAAAGAACAGATGATATGTGGATGGAAGTACAAATTTAAAAGCAGTACTCAAACAAACTAGCATCTAATCGAACTTAAACCAAACATTGTGACTGTGTTCTACATATATAAATAAAATTCAACAACAACGAACAACCAATTTAAAGCTTAAGAGACAAATCAAGTCCAGAAGTATCCGTATCGAGTTTTGGAGGCTCACCGCCAAGAACATCACCACCAATGATTGGCCTGTTGATTCCAAAGTTTGAACCACCAAAGTTGCGAGCAGAACCAATTTCCTGATCAAACCTTGAAGCACTGATAGTTCCTGGAAGGCCTAATGTTCCACTGGAAGTAGTATTAGCATGAAGGCCATCAAGGTTGAGCCTATCAATGGAGGATTGAAAATTATTCATGAGGCCCCCTGGCCTTGATGATGACCAACCCCCAGAACCAACACCATGGCCAAAGCGCCCGAAACCGGAGGTCGAGGAGGACCATGGATAAGAAGGCTTGTGAATCATGGAGTCCATCCTAATCCCAAGAGATCTACCATAAGATCCATAGAGAGGGTGTTGAGTGATACTTGAATATGGGCTATAATAAGGATGGGAATGTCCGAATAAATTATGGTCCATTCCTAGTCCTCCTTGACGCCTTTTGGCCAAGGCACGCTCTTGTTTGTGAGCGTTTTGATGCCCTCCCAATGCTTGGGAAGTAGAGAAATCTCTCTTGCAAAAGTTGCATGTAAAAACCCTACTTTGGGGTTTTTTCCCATCATCACCACACGGGTTCTCGTCTCTTCGCTCGTTGCGTTGAGATAATAATCCTAATCCCCCCAGGTTCGATGATGAACCCTGGTTCAGAGGGTTGAACAGAACGAGTTCCTTCGAGGACAACGCCCCTGACACATGACCAGGGTCATTGTTGGAAAGCTTCGGATCAAGCAAGTGACGAGAATTTTGTGTCGGTGATAAGGATGATCCGACTGCCGGGGATGGCTGTTTAGGCTTGGGTTGTTCATCATCAGAATCATCAATAATGACTTTTTCTTTCATTTTCATCTTCTTTTTTTGGTCAGGAAGATCAGGAGGAGGGAGAGGAGGAGGGCTATCTTTTTTTGGTGGTGGAGTGCCATCTGAGGCGACAGAGATGTTAGAGGCTTCAAAAGGGCTTTGATATTCTTCTGCCATCTCATGAACTAATTAGAAAAGAAATCTTGGGTTTGATGAAAATGTTTGGAGACATCAACTCCTTTTTATTAAGGGTTTGAGTTAATGCTTATCGTTCATGTTAGGAAAGAAATCTCGTATCGTAGTTGTAATATGCACAATAATAGCAAAAGATTAAAGTGGTGACTAAGCTTTTGATGAGATTTGGCTTCGAGACCAAGACTTTGCCCCCAAAATAATTATATCATTCAAACAAAATTTGCAAGTACAATGTAATTCCGGCTATTTATGCAGATATACAAGTCAAGCTTCTATGCGGTTTTCATACGGGTGACAATCAGTGCATCGGCTTTTTAAGTAGCTTTATACTGGATTTGAGCAACCAAAAACCCTATTTGCTTATAAGTTACAACCATGCATGGAAAATAATAATAATATTAGAGAATCGGTAGACTTTCCTTTTTAAGTCAATTGCATATACATCCATCTAGTTAGGTGTAAAATTGTAGGGAGAAAATGCTAGCATCGGTCCTCCATGTGTACCACATCAATCAATAGACAATTTCAGTTGAAAATCATTCATGTGGCACACGATCAACTATAGGTGTTGAGAAAAAATAAACCTCCTCTTTATTAAACAGAGATAATATAAAAAATAAAATAAAAACAAATTATAGAGTTCTTTAATGTTACTAAACTCAAATGATACTACAAAAATTATACTTGTCTTTGTCACTAGACTCAAATAATATTACAAAAGAAGAAAATAAATAACAGAGAAAGACCCGCAATTTATTTATAAATTGTTCAATATCAGTAAAAAGATATGTTGCATTTAACTATTAATTTATCCTTTCATTATAATTACCATTTTATATTTCCAGTCAAGAGTTTGAACTTTGAAGTCTACTCGTTTTTCTTTCTACCTAATTTGGCTTAGCAAAAATCATGCAACTTATTACAAGGAAAAAAAATTACACAGAAAAATCCAGCTTTGATAACATTAGATATGAACAGGTCTTAACTTTCAAGGTTGTGAGTTGATAATTAAGTTCAAAAATTTAATCAAACGCTTGCAGATAAGTTCAAAAATATAACTCTCTTAATGCATGCACAGTGAAAATTAGTTGTCACTTGAGTAACGTTAGTATCAGAAAAAGATATATAGTATTTTTCCTAAACCGTATCAATAGTATTCATTGTAAACATGGAATTAAGATGCATGTATATCAACTTAATTGGCATCCAATTCTGAAAACCCGTCCTTTTTGGTGTTTGAAATTTTGAAATTTCACCATCACAAGTTGACTCTATATTTCGAATGTTTGATTTAAAATTTCTATATTTTCTTAAAAAGAGTAATCAATTGAAAGAAATATTAGGCTGCGAAGAAAATGGAAGTGTTCCATACTACCATGGATTTAAAAAAAGTTGGGCTTTAAACCAATTTTCAATCAAGGACATATCGTACTTTTTATTCAAACCACCTTTCTTATAACAAGTAATTAATCATGACTGTCCAATCAAATGGATGCCATGTTTGCCAATCTTCTATAATGAGTTTTAGATGGGTGGCAATCAGTGCATCGAACTTTAAGTAGCTTATACTGGATTTGAGCAGGGAAATCGAACTTGGTAATAAGTTACAGCTGGCATGGAAAATATTATGTACATTCCCCTTCAACACTACAAAAAAAATAAGGAACTTTAACAAAAAAACTCCCGGTACTGTTCACTTTAACGAAAAACCACATTTTAACACTAAAAAGTCAATCTTGTTACTATTCACTTTACTCTTTATTTTGTCCTTATCGTTAAAACTCAAAGTTTTCAAGTCTTTTTCATTAGTTTTCCTAAAAAAAAATCCTCTCCAGACGAAATGATTTTGTTGGGCCAATTAAGATTTAATCATCTAATGTTTTGTCTGACGAAACTTGGTCGGGCAATATTTGTCGGGCAAACGTCGTCGCACAAATGTATATGCCCGACAAATATAAAAAACTCTTCCAGGCAAATACTTTTGCCCGACGGAATCATTGATGACAATTTCATCATGTCAAGTGCGTTGACCAACTTGGCCCGACGAATATAATTTACCCGCCGAAAGAATTTCGTCGCTAAAACCCATTTGCTGAGCTAGAATATAGTATCCTAAACCATTGCGGACAATTTTTTCACTATTTCGTCCAGCAAAGTGGTATTTTTCATAAATAAAAAAGAAAAAATACTTTGCCCAACAGCATTCAAATAAATTAATTAGTTTTAATTCTGTTAACCTCAAAAGAAATCAAAATATAAAATAGTTTTAATTCTGTTAATCTCAAAATATAAATATAAAAATATTTATTTATATTAAAACTGAAATATTCGTAGAATGCATGTAAAATATCCTAAACTAAGTATTTAATTCTGTTAATCTCAAAAGAAATCAAAATATAAAAATAGTTTTAATTCTGTTAATCTCAAAATATAAATATAAAAATATTTATTTATATTAAAACTGAAATATTAGTAGAATGCATGTAAAATATCCTAAACTAAGTACTCCTAGGGTAGCTGTTGGGATGGCGACTGTAGGTCTCTCAGAGGATAGATGATGCAAATGCCAGAGGTTGCCATTGCATGTGCTATATCTCGCATGTACTGCTGACAGTCATCCTCTTGAAGGTGCTCAGCTTCTTCCTGAGCTTCTTCTTGCTGATGTGCAACTTTTTCGGGATGGCACATGGCCTTTAACTCTATCTCCGACTACTGCGGTGTAGAAGACGTCATGTTTGTAGGCTAAGAGCTAGATGAAGAAGATCCCCTGATTGAGGTCCCCAACTAGACCCTCTCCTAGGTCGTGGATCTCTCAGCCTTCCCATCACCAAAACCCCTTCCATCATCAATTGTAGAGACACATGTGGATCAGGTGTTAGCTGCTCCAGTGGCATGTTCGGTTGTTGCTAGGAGAGGTTGGTGAGATACTCATCCTTCTTATGTGACACATAAGTGTACAAAAAACAAACCAAAAAAAAAAAAAAAAAAAAACCAATTAAGATTATCGACCATAATTTTAAAACTAATAAACATAATAATTTTTTTTTTTAAATAAAGCATACTTACCTAGATCTTTGTCATCGTCACCTTCACCTCGGGGGTGAGCTTCTTCCTTGTGGGGGCTTTCACAGAGCACTTGGTGCGGATGATTGCTCTCATGTCATGAGTCAACATGTTGTTGACTTTGACATCCGCTCGTCAATGTTGTGGGTCATACACGATCACAATCATTACTTGCATATGCTAGTGATCCCCCTCACTTTCACCTTCTTCACACCCTGACAAGGAATTTTTTGTCTCTGCCTAGGGCATGGACACTGATTCGGTATCGGCCTATGCAGCATTAACAGGGATTGGGGCTGACACGACGCCAAGTTGTTTCCAACAGTGAATGTGCTGGCCAGATTGCACTTCCAGACCTATAAAGCTGATGTAGTGGGCTCAGCCTCCTAGGTACAGCTGGTCCCCGCCAATGGAAAATCAACCATCTTTGCCGCCAACGCCAAGTCATTATGACTCGAACCAGAGGCAAATCGGGGGCCATTGGTGGTCAATTGAGATGACATCTACAAAAAAAATCACAATAAAAAGGTCGTACCCAGTGCACAAGGCTCCCGCTTTACGCAGGGTCTGGGAGAGGTAAATGTCGGCTAGCCTTATCCCCATTTTATGGAGAGGCTGCTCCCAAGTCTCGAACCCGAGACCTACCGCTCATGGAAAAAAGATCACAATAATTTACAAAAATTCTTATTTCATAAAATTCATGATATTAGTAAAAAAATAAATAACTCTTAAGATTCCTACAAAGTTCTAATATTTTTTTTTAATTCTAATATTTTAAAAATTCAAATGAAAATTTCTAATATATCTACTATGTTCTAAAATTTTCTATGTTTCAAAAATTTCCTAAGAATTTCTAATATTCCTAAAATTCTTAATATTCTTAAAAAATTAATAATTTCTAATAATCCTACAAATTTCTAATATTTCTAAAAAATTCAATATTTCAAAAAAATTTAATATTTTTGAAAAAAATTATAATATTTCTTCAAAATTCTAATGTATCTAATATTTCCTAAAAATTTCTAATATTTCTTAAATTTATTAATTATTTTGAAAATCCTAAAAAAATATAATATTTCACAGAAAATTTAAAAAAAAGAAACAACAGAGCCCACCCAACCCCAGCACACCCACTGAGCCCAACCATCCTACCCACCCAAGTCGACCCACCGAGCCTAGCCCGCCCCCATATCCACCCCGCCCCCATATCCACCCCACCTCCATATGCACCCCACCCCACCGTCCCCTTCCCCGAGTCCCGACCCCTTCCCCCTGCCTAAACCCTAAACCCATCCCATCCTCTTCCCCGTACACACCCCAACTCATCCCACCCGTACAAATTCACAAATATTCACAGCATTTCACATGTAAATCAAAGCATTTCGCATTATAAAGTTTATAATATTTAAAAAAAATGAAAAAGTTTTATATCATACTTCTATGAGAACTTGAGAGAGAGGGTGTGGAAGAGACAGAGGGCAGAGATGACGAGTAACAGAGAGCTAAGAGGGGATGGAGTTTGTAGATGGGGGGGGGGGTGGAATTTCACAGAGAGATATGAGAGAAAAGGTGTAAGGAAGAAAGAAGAAGGCTCTCGTGCCTGTTATAAAATCTCAGGACCTTTTCCCGACGAACCCATTCATCAGGCAAACCTAAAATATTCGTCGGGCCAAAAGAATGTGAAATTTTGATTTGTTTAGAAAAAAGTGGGTGAAAGTTTGCCAGACAAATTTAGACTTGTTAAGTGTTTACCCTAAGGTTGTTCCCGATCAATGAAGCTATTAAGTGGATGTTGATAAATTTCAGAAAGATCGGTAAACACTATGTTTGCATATAGAGGGGTGCATGGGTAGTCTAAAAGACCATTCGAGAGAGAGCACTAAACAAGTGTGTAGGTGCTCAATAGAGATTGAGTTTAC